GGAAGAGACATTCTCTTGAAGCTATTTGCACTTTTGGAACTATCGGATTAGTTTACAAGATCTTTGGAATCAAGGTATAAAGTCTCTCTCTCTCTCTCCATAAGAAAAAGTGAATCCGATAGTATCAAAGCCGTATTTCGAAACTTGGATATATGTCCTGTTCTTTTCGCGGTTCGAATTATGTGATTTGAACTTTTTGATTTTAACTAAAAAATCTGAACTACTGAGAAGGAAATTAGAATTGGAATTACGAAATAAAAATTTTAATTCATGTTTAGATAGTATTCTTACGATCACAAAACTCGATAAAGATTGCCTCATGTAGCACTTAGTTACGGAGAATTAATTCATTATTGGTATTAGCTTGTCATTTATTTATTTATTTATTTTTTCTGAAAACTCGTTATTTATTTATTTGTTAACAGTTAGCAAGTGCCCTTTTTAGAAGATCTTCCAGCAGCTCCTCGATTGCCTTCTCCAATTTAGTTGGACCTCTTGAGGAAATTAATTTCCATGGCTACTCAATATCCTACGTTGCTTCAAGTACTTATGGACAACCAGTTGTAAGCAATGAAACCTTTAGACCATGACATTCTGAAAACATTGACATAAAAACTTTTTAGTTTTTCTTTGGTGGAATCGACCCCTTAACTTTCTAAGAAGTAATAGTTTTGTCCCATAAATCTTTTGTTTGACTTATTAGTCCCAGACTTAATATTTTTACAGTTTTGTTGTTTGGCATTAAAACTAACTATAGAATTTTCAAACCTAATGGAAGTAGTTAATAACCATTGCCTAGAAATTTAAATTTTATAGAATGTAGTCGCTTGAAGTTCATTGAAGATGGCCTTTTGCACTTTACGTTACTTCTTTCGTAAAATTTCAAGTTAACACAAAATGTATATATATGTGATTACCTTGATTAAATTTTAAATAACCATCATTAATTTTTTTTGGCTCGGGACCAAAACTAAAAATATTATTCTTAGTATATTCTTCGATTTCATTTCTGATTTACCCTTTTGACTCTAGTACTGAAATTGAGAAATTTTTTTTACATAATAAGAGCATCTCTAATGCAATGATATAATTGATATGATGATTGTAAATTTAGTATTTGAGTGTAAAAAAACTCTCCAATATATTAATAATTTGTCATGCTAAATTTGCCATATGCTTTAGTTTGTGACAAATTTCACACCAAGTATAACATATTACAAATTTAGCATTTGATTACTATTGGTTGATATGTTTACTTTTTTATTTAGTCATTGCAACTTTTGTATTTATAAATTACTTTAAAATTAAAAGTTTACTTTTACAACTTTCAAAGCTTAATGATTATAAAAAATAGTAAATTTAACATTTCAAATAGTATTATGTATTAGAATACAAAATAACATATCCCATCATACGTTTTGGTGCCAAATAATAGAATGTGTATTAGCATTTACATTGTAGATGGTCTAATAATATATTTGCTTTACAAACTAAATCACCTCTTGCGCCTAATTAGCTATTGTGTTTACTGCAGGAGTTGATGGTTAGCTTTCAAAGTTATATGGACAAGATGAGTATTGTTCTCTCAGGAGATGAAGATTTTTTTCCTGAACTGCATGAGTTATGCGATGATATTACTGAATCGCTGAGACGTATTACGAATTCTGTTAAAGAGAAAGAGGCTGTTAAGGAAAAAGATATCTAACTAAGAGGGTTACCTATAGTCATTATTATTTTGGAGTATTGTTGTTTAATTATCCGGTGTAAGCAATTTTTGTTTGAATTGAGAGATTGAACAACGATCCAACTATATATAATTTAGTTAATTAATACTGTTGGATAAATATTGTATTGCATTAATTTACTATGGACGCGTTTGAAATTCGTTTTAAAATGATTTTATTTTTTATATGAAAATAAAAATGAAAACGTTTTCAATCTCAAACAGAAATTATTTTTAAAAACGCGTTTAGTAATTTTATCAAGAGATTGTTTTCAGTATAAAAAAACCCATTAATGTCTCTGTCTCTCTTTCTCTACTTGAGAAAGAAGAAAATGAAAATAAAAAATGAAAAACGACTAAAAGTGGTTTTTTATTTCTCTCTCATTTTATACTAAACTAAAAAATCGTTTTCATTTTCCTTTTTTGTCTTTATTGCGTAAAATGCTATTTTAGAAACGTTTTCATTTTTTTCTTAAAAAATGTGAAAAATAAAAACGGAATTAATTCCAAACACGACATATGTTTTCACTTTGTACTCAAATAGGTACGAGGTCCTTTATACTCCACATTCAATTGTCTCGCATACTAAAGTTTCTGGCAAGGATACTCTCCGAGTCTGTCTGATCAATAACTATAAAATGAAAGAAGTTTGCATGTATATTGTACAATTACGTACCTGTAAATGCTTAAAAGAGTAGGTACAATATAATTCGGAAACTAACCTCTCGGAAGTCTATAGAATCTATTTGTAGGGAATATTTTGAAGATATTGGGTTCGGCACATAGTGATTGCTCTATGCTAGAGTTCCATCTCCTAGCAGACGACTTACGCTGTCGCCCTTCCTCCGCGACGTCCGCGTGCACTGATTAGAGGCTGTTCTTGCCTCATGTCTCGGATCATCGCGCGACTGACAGGAATGCAGTCCCATCGACGAGAGCAATTGCCTGAGTGTAGCGCCACGTGCCCATTATCATGCACTCAATACCGATATCTTAGAAAATGGGGACAGCAAATCTGGATTCTATTATGTATGGGCTGTGTTTTAAGAGAAAATTAAGAAATTATCTCATAACTCACTTTTTTTAAAATTTTTTTTTTTGTCATTATAAGGTTAATATAGAATTGGAAAAAATTAAGACAAAAATTTTAGTATTAGAAAGCGCATAATTCTTTATGCTTTTGTATTCAGAGGAATTCCTGTAGATTTTCCTTGTTTTCTTCTTGACGTACGTTTCGTCGTAACATATATATATATATATATATATATATATTGGAAGGAAATTCGTTGTAATATTTAATGAACATGGAAATACATTTTAGTTTTATTATTGCGTAGTTTATAGCTAGGCGTGTATGTTGAGAATACACACACACACACACACTCGCATGGGCGGGCTAAATGGCCCACAGTTCAGGATGGTCAATGTGTCACCAATTTGCCACCGCATATAATGCTTCGGACCTCTTGCAGACCATAAATGATGTTGCTTTCGGAGTCACGCAAGCTGGTTTATCCAAATATCTCGATAGAAGATATTGTGAAGTTCCATCTTGACCTAGACCAATCGTTTCAGCTCAGTACATATAACATGACTTGTCGGCCCTGATCATAATATATGTACATATATATATATATATATATATATTCTTGTCACATTTGAGTAGGTCTTGAGAATAAAAATGATGAGGGAGCTGGGACCGAGAAGATCAAAATCTGCCTAAGAAAATTTGCCTGAGATCACTTTTGTTCATTAATATTGGGCCATCAGAAAAAAAGCAGGAATTCAGGTCAGTACATATTTCAGTGCGTATATATGGCCATGATCTAGATTTTCTAAATAGTGTCACAAAATTGCATTAAATCTTTCGCGTAATTTGGACTCAAAAGTGTGTCTAACTTATTAATATTTATAAATTAATACAGACTTTGGCTGATAAGATGGAGAAAAATACGTACAAAAGCAAAGTGAGGCAATTGGTTTGGCTATGTTCTCCTTCCCTTCACCGTTGGATTAAGGGGATGACCCATTACGTTATATTCGTGTAGCAAAAGCTATTGTTGATCGGAAAAAAAAAAAGAAGCATTCTCTTGAAGCTATTTGCAGTTTCTCCTTGACCGGATTAATTTTCAAGTTTTTGGGTATTAAGGTGTGTGTGTGTGTGTATAAAACCTAAAAAAAAACCAAAAAAAAAAAAAAAAATTTCCACATGCATGGACGGAGCTACATGAGGGGCCTATGGGGGCCTGTGCCACCACTCACTTTTTTATCTATTTAATTTTCAGCTATAATTTTACATAATTTTAAAAATGCCCTATCAAAATATATTTTCTATAAAAGGTGACCATGTTTGTTTTTTTTTTTTTTTTCTTGAACCTATTCCACTATTTTAAGTTATTTAACTGATTTTCTCACACTTGATTTTCTTACTTGATCTCTTTTTTATTATCCACTTTTTTCTTCCAGGTTTTTATAAAAGGATTTGTTTGATTTTGAATTAACATAATTTTAACAGAATAAGTTTTTGTTGATTAATTATGTTTGAATTTTACTTCTTAATCGTGGGGATTAATTTTAAGTTGCGTATTTATACTTTATTTCATAAAGAAAATTATTAGTAACTATAAAGAAAAAATAAAAATGGTTAGAAATATATATACAAAAAAAATCTTGTGAGGGTCTCTACTGAAATAAAATCCTAGCTCTGTTCCTGTGCACAAGATATATGTTAGACAAACACTGTAGATGCATATATTACTATATTTATACATGATGATCAGTTCAATTATCAGTACTGCTTCTTTGTTATTTAACAGACAGCAAGTGCACTTTTCCAAAGACTTCTAAGTATAGCACCACGTTGGCCTTCTCCAATGTAGTTGGACCACTTGAGGAAATTGGTTTTTTCGGTCATCCGATGGCTTACCTTGCTACAACTACATATGGCCAACCGAGTGTAAGCATTCAAATCTCTACCGCTACTAATTTTCACGCCCTGCGCTGCAATTGCTTTCGGCGACTCGGTATGCAAATAACTAACTATAGGGAGCTTCAATGTTAAATTTAAACTAATATTTTTTTCTCTTACTCCAATTAATAGACTTAATTTCTAAGAAGACCCTGTGTTTTTTATAACGTAATTGATTTTTTAAAATTATTTTCCACGTCCGCAGTACGTGACTCAACTAGTACTACTACAATTCTAGGATTAAACGATGTGTATTTAATGATAACTTAAAAAGAAACGGTTATATATTCATAAACAAGGCGATAAGTTCAGAGTTTCTATTTTAAAAATTCTTACAAAATATTAGACGACGGCTTTTTTTGATGTCCATTACTTTAGATGATAGTTTCCAGAAGTTCATTGTTTTGTTCAACATGTTAAAAGGGTACTGAACTTAAAAATCCCAAAACCGGTTAAAAGATAATTAACGAACGAATGAAAACCAAAAGGAAAAACCCAATCATAGTAGTAGTAGCAACAATATTATCAGTAGTAGCAGCATAAATAGTAGTGGTGGTAGTACGTACTAGTGATAGTAGAAATAGTGGTGGTGATAATAATCTAATCTAATCTAATCTAACCTACATAAAAAAAGTAAAGATATTGCTCCTCCTTTTATCACATGTGAACCTCTTATTTCTCTTTTTTGTTTTTATTTTTTACGTATTCTTATTTCTAATCTTTCTTTTATTTATTTTTACCTTTTCTCATTTCTATTCTTCTTTTGCTTTTCTCTTTAGTGTTTTTAATCCTTTGTCAAGTGCTTTTTTGTAATTTAATCTTCTTACAAAATATTTTTATGATTTTTTTCTCACTTTACTCTATTTAAAATAATTCATTTTATATGTACCCCATAAATAATTTACTATGTGATATTTTTTCTTTTTAAATGTGCTCTGCTAAATTTTTTTTTTCTTTTTACTAAACTTAATTATTAGCTTAATAATAAATAAATACAACTAAATGTTAGAAGAAATTTTATATTTTCATGTAAAGAATTCACGCGTTCCGCGCGCTTATAACTAGTACTACTAAAATGTCATTTCACTATTTTATATAAATGAGGTGAAATGACATGTGGTAGAAAAAAAATATAAGAGAGTAGAAAAAAATAATAAAATGAGTCACGTTAGTATTTTTTTAATAATAAATAAATACCGACGACAATAACAACACAATCTTAACTTTTGAATTCTGCAGCATGCATTAAAAAGTGTCGCCACCATTCATTAATTATTTTGAACTCACCTTTAAATTTGCAAGCTAGATGGTTGGTTGATCCAACTGTAACACATAATAAATTATGCCAAAAGTAGTCCAAGAAGATGTGAATAATAATGACTTAATAAATTAGGCCACGAGTTGCACTCTTCAGGCGCCTCCCATCTTAACTCTTTCTCTATTCACGTAACTAGAGATACATTTATATATAGTAGTTTTCCAAAGATATATTTTTCTTTTAGTTGTCAAAATATGGGATCTGATCAAGAAGGTATCAGATTGAGAAAGCAAGGTTTGAGGCCCATTGAAACTAAATTTCGAAATGGATCGTCATCGTCGGGATCGGAAGATATCAAGGAAGAAGAAGAGCCACTGAGTCCGGCGGGGCGTTTGTTCCATGAACCAAATTTCAACGTCAATGTATTAGCAATCATGGGCTGCAAAACCAGGATTGATCCGGATGTTGCCCTGGCCAATGCAAAGGCCAACCTTCCACATACTTTGCTAAAGCACCCCCGCTTCTCTAGCGTTCCGGTAAGAAACAATCCACACTAGTACTACCTTTCAGAAAAAAAAAAAGTTAGGATCAAACATGGATTAAAAAAGTATATTTAAGATACGTTCATATAAATTTATCAAATTTTCGTACGGTTTAATTATGATATTACTTTGATCTAATTTGGTGTTACAAAATGTGTGCATTATCATTGGTAAGTAAGTTCGTTAATACTACGTTATAAGCATTTGATTATATTGCTATTCAAAAGTGCAAGTACAATATCTTATAGTAACTAAAAAAATGGAGTAGCATCAAATATGGCCTAAAAAAGTGTTAAGTAATTGACTAAAATTAGTTTTTGAAAAGTTACTATTTTGTGTTTTTAAGTAAGTTACTGTTTTCAATTTTTGGGCAAAGGCTCCCTCTTCTGTGGACGTAGGAAATTTTTTCGAACAACTAAAATTTTTGTCTTCTCTATTTTTCTGTTATTTTATTTCAATTTATTTTTTTTCGCTCCGTGGGTATATGGGTGTGTTTTTCCCAACAACTGGTATCAGAGCTGTGGTGAAGATTAAAAAGAAAAAAATTCAAGATGATGTGCGGGATAAAATTTGAGCTGATTGAACATCTTGATAGGAAGAGTCATTTCAACATATGACAAAGTACGGTGAAATACGTTCTAATTCAGCAGGGATTACTGAAAGCACTGCAATAAAATAAGCCATAAATTATGATAGATGAAGATTGGGAAGAATTGAAAGCGATAGCGGTAGGCACAATTCATTTAAGTTTGGCTCCTGATTGTCGTGTTATGAATGAAACATCTCCTCCTAAGTTATGGAAAAAATTAGAAAAAAGTTTATATGTCGAAATCCCAAACAAATAGATTATATTTGAAGAAGCAATTGTACGAGTTAAAGATGGATGAAGAAACTGATGTTAGGGATCATATAAATAATTTTAATAAGTGTGTAACTCAATTGTTAAGTGTAGATGTCAAAATTAATGAGGAAGATAAAGCGGTAATTTTGTTGACCTTCCTACCCAAATCATATGAGACTTTGGTGACTACACTATTAGTTGGATAGACGACATTGACTATGGATGAGGTATCAACTGCTTTGTTAGAGACTACAAATATGAAAAAGCCAAGTAGTACGTCTCATACTGAATGTTTTAGTGGCACAGTCAGATTCGAATAGGGGTAGGAGCAAGTCACGAGGGAGATGTTATGATAAAAGAGATGATCGTTCCTAATCCCGACCAAGAAAGGATACTGAGTGCTATTATTGTTATAAAAAAGGCATATTAGGAGAAATTGTGAAGAACTGATGAGACATCTAGAAGAAAAAAGAAAACAAGAGACCCAAGAGACTTCAGATTCTATAAATGTTATTGGCGACATGTATGACAGTGAAGATGATGTTTGTTCTGTTATTGTTGATGAAAATATTTATGACTCTTGGATCTTGGATTTTAGACGCTTGTTTCATATTTGTCCACATAAGGAGTCGTTTGATTCTTATAAGCCCTGTGATGCCGATACTTTGTTGATGGCTAATGATTTTAGTGCTAAAACTGTTAGAATAGGTACTATTAAGGTGAAGATGTTTGATGGAGTTCTGAGGAAATTAACAAATGTTAGACATGTTCCTCAACTAAGGAGAAGTTTTATTTCTTTGGGAGCTTTGGACACTTTGGGTTATGAGTACTATGCGATGGGTGGTTTTATGCACGTCAAGAGAAGTGATTTAGTAGCCATGAAGGGTGAAAAAGTGAAAAACGTGTATAAGCTTATTAGGACAACTATTGTAGGTAGAGGTATGAAGGAAGAATCATGTTAAGAAGAATCTTCTTCTGTTATGAAAGAAGTTGCAGGAGTAAAAGAGTGCAACAAGATGTTGATAACAGTTGAAAACAATAAAGGCAAGATGGTGAAGACTTGTGGCAGTGAAGATGCTTTGAAGAAGAAAAAGACAGTTCCTCATGTCAAGTTTGATGAAAGTTTGAATTTGACACATGTTTATTCTCTTTGAAGTTTGCATCGTCGGTGCTATGACGACTGTCGAGATTGGATACCCAATTGAGTGAGTTGAGAGAATTTGCGTCAAGGTGGAGATTATTAGGTAAGTGACTCAAATTAGTTTTTAGAAAGTTACTATTTTGTGTTTTTGGGTAAGTTACTGTTTTTAGTTTTTTGGCAAGAGTTATTTATGGCTTATTAGGAGTCTATAAATAAGTGTTTTGTGTAAGACTTTATGTGCTAAGAGAAAAGTGTGCTCATAGAATAGTGTAGAGAAAGAAGAAATAGAGAAAAGTAAGGAGAGAGATAGGCAAGGGTGTAAGGGGTTTTTGATAGAAAGAGAATGTGAAAAAATTATATGAGTGTGTAATTCTAAAACTGTTAGTGATTTTTTTTCCTCTTCCGTGGACGTAAAAAAATTTTCTGAACCACTTAAGTCTGTATCTTCTCTATTTTTATGTTACTTTTTTAATTTATTTTTCAGGTATAAAGGTGTGTTTTTCCCGACAAAAAGTAACATTAAGCGTTTTTCTTTTCTTTTAAATTTATCAAATTTCTAAACGGTTCTTAATAATTATGATATATTTTGATGCATCTGATGTTCAAGTAAGTGAATTGTCGGTTGGTGTTCTTTATTGCAGCATTTATTATATAACCAAACTCTCACTATTTAAACTTGCAAGTACAATTCCTTAATTGATTTGTTTTATGATGATATCAGATTTCATCCTGATTTGTTTTATGATGATCTCAGATTGTGGATGAAAAAGAAGGTGACGGAAAGATAATGAAATGGGTCAGAACAGAAGTGGATTTGAACAAGCACATTATAACTCCGGAAATAGACCTAGCTAATTACAAGGACTGCCCAGATAAATTTTTGGAAGACTACATCTACAATCTCACCAAGACAAGCCTTGACAAGTCAAGGCCTCTTTGGGACCTCCATATCCTCAACGTCAAAACATCTCAAGCTGAGGGCGTGGGGATATTCCGGGTTCACCATTCTCTCGGTGACGGCATATCTCTCATGTCGCTTTTACTCGCTTGTACTCGCCAAACCTCTAACCCTGAGGCTTTGCCAACAATTCCGACTGCGAAAATTAGCAAAGATGAGAAGAAGGGTGGTTTTGTCAGCATGTTTTTGCTCGGCTTGTTTGGGCTATGGTGGATTTTCAAGTTGCTTTGGAATAGTGTCGTTGATGTTTTCATGTTTATGGCGACGGCATTTCTCTTGATAAAAGATACCAAGACGCCTATTAAAGGTCCTCCCGGTAGTGGGAATAACCCTAAGCGAATTGTTTTCAAGATTGTTAGTTTGGATGATATGAAGATGGTTAAGGATGCGATGAACACGGTAATTAGCTTTATCTCCCAAATTATATGTAATTATATATTTATATATAGTACTATATGATTGTTTAATTACTTTATTGTATGGCTGATTTTCTTGCACGCTATGGTTTAAACTCTCCAAGGTGTCCTTTTCAAAAAAAAAAAAAAAAAAAAAAAAACCTTGTCTATAGTCACCAGGGTTTTAATTTTCTAGTGGTTTTATGGATTTCGTTGTCCTGATTAATTAGATGCTATTGGCTAGGCGACTTATGAATTCTTTTTCTTCATCGAATGAATTTTCTTTTGGAAAGAGTTTTGACTTTTGTTTAGTCATGATCTGCTTATTTTGAGTAGAAAGTCCAGAACTTCACCTTTTATCCGTTTCTGACGTTTGTAGATCTAGAAGCTATTTTTGAATTTAAAATTGCTGGGTTTTTTTTTTTTTTTTTTTTTTGCTGTGTTTGGAATTAATCCGTTTTTATTTTTTACGTTTTTTGAGAAAAAAATGAAAACGTTTCTAAAACGGCGTTTGGCGCAATAAAAACAAAATAAAAATGAAAATGATTTTTTAATTTAGTGTAAAATGAGAGAAAAATAAAAAATGACTTTTAGTCGTTTTTCATTTTTTATTTTCGTTTTCTCCTCTCTCGAGCAGAGAGAGAGAAAGAGAGACATTAATGAATTTTTTTACAGTGAAAACAATCTCTTGATAAAATTACCAAACGAATTTTCAAAAATGATTTCTGTCTGAGATTGAAAACATTTTTATTTTCATTTTTGTACAAAAAATAAAATCATTTTAGAACGAGTTCTAAACACGCCCTTTATCTCCCTTTTTCTCTGTCTTTTCTATGTTGTTGTTGTTGTTGTTCTGGGTTTTGGCTGCTATATCCCCCCCGGTTAGGTGCATATTAATCTTTTTTTTTTTTTCCTGAAATTCTCCTTACTAATGGAGGTTCTAGGGAAAAATTGTGTAATACGTACTTGTGGATACTGTAAACGTGTACATTTTGGTCTCGTTCACTTCGTGAATTTGAGTTTTTAATTCGAATTGAGATGTGATATTTTTTGAAAACTTTTTACTGTAGCAAAAAAAGTTAGATATGACATTTTTTAAGAACTTTTTATTGTAAAAACCTGAAATTGAAAACTCGAATCGGTGAAATGAACGATGCATTTGTTTCTCCTTAAATGCTTCAATATATATCTTATTGGTTGAATTAATTATCCATAAATGGGATATGTAAGTGCTGACAAAATATTATACAAAAAAATAATATAACTAATAATAGAATACATATCTGTATACGGCACTATTTATTCTATTTATAATTACAAAGTCTCGTCCTTCATTAATAACACTATTGCTTTCTCTTTAACAGACCATAAATGATGTTGCATTGGGAGTCACACAAGCTGGTTTATCTAAATATCTCAATAGAAGATATGGTAACTAGTTTGTCCGTTTATAGATTATATTCTATCTCAGTTATAGTCTCAATGATAATATATTAGTCACATTTGTCTTGATTTCTCTTCTAATGTAGGCCTCGAGAACAAAAAAGATGAGGGAGGGGCGGAGAAGAAAAATAATCTTCCAAAAAATATTCGTCTGAGATCAATTTTTTTCATTAATATAAGACCATCAGCGGGAATTCAGGTTAGTAATCAATGCACACACATTCACAAATATTCATTAAATATTTATGTAAGTGTGAATGTAAATATATACGAGATTGCAGTAGGGTATGAGAAAAAACATATTAATTAACAAGATTATGTTTTAAATTATCAGATTTGTATTAAGTTCCATCAGTTTTGTATTATTTTTTGCTTTAATTGAAGTTTGCATTACTTATTTATATGCGTGTGATGTATTTAATTAAGTAGGTATATATGTTAAATGTGTATTTATACAGGCATTAGCTGATATGATGAAGAAAAATACAAAGGCAAAGTGGGGGAATTTGTTTGGTTATGTCCTCTTTCGCTTCACCATTGATTTAAAGGATGACCCGTTAGATTATGTTCGGGAAGCCAAAGCTACCATTGATCGAAAGAAGCATTCTCTTGAAGCACTCTTCAGTTTGTTCATTGCCGGATTAATTTTCAAACTTTTTGGCGTCAAGGTATATATCAAAACCTTTTTTTTTTTTTTTTTCAAATAAACTTAACTAGTTAATTCACAAGAAAATGTGAGGTACTAAACTACTAACTGGGTAAAAATAAAAAGTATATCTGTTTTAAAAAATTCACTCCTAAACTTTATAGCATTCATTTATATTACATTTTACTGTATGTATTGATGGGTTATTAAATAGTACCAATTTGTTTTCAGACAGCAAGTTCTTTTTTTGAAAGACTTTTCACGGGCACAACAATGGCCTTCTCCAATGTAGTTGGACCACTTGAGGAAATTGGTTTCTACGGCCATCCAATGGCTTACCTCACTGCAACTACCTATGGCCAAGCAAGTGTAAGCATTCCAATATCTCTAACGTTTGGCACCATATAGGAACTATATGACATATTGCTTTCAGCAAAAACCAGTGGCCGGTCGGAACTTTTATGCTAAAAAGTTCGCGCTTGCAGGTGTACGTGTCTGACATGTCAATTAATATAGTATATCATGTGATAATACTAGGGGGAAAAAAAAAGGGAAATGTCACCATACGAAGATATTTATTGACAAGTAGTATATATTTTATATATAATCTAGTATAAGCATAGAATGATATTTCAGAGGTTTGGATCATGGTTTAAATTTTTTTTTTTTTTGCTATAATATTTTTACTCACATAAAATTTAAATTTTTATTTAAATTGTGTGTTTAAATCTATGAACTAAAAAAAGTATGTATTGAGGATTGTTTTTGGCTCATAGGTTCATGGAATTTGAATCATGAGCTCATTCCAAACTAGTATTCAAACTGCAAATTTAAATCATATTTTTAAAAGGCTTTACAGTTTAAACCACCACATTTCGAATCCATAATCCAAACAGAACCTGAATCAATAGTCCTAGAGATGGTAAACTTTTTTAAGCGTTAGCATAGAATTCTAATTTTTCTTTTCTAACATTTTCAGGAATTATTGGTTTGCCTTCAAAGTTACATGAACAATATGAGTATAAGTCTCTCGGTGGATGAAAACACTATTCCTGATCCTCATCAATTAATGGACGATATTGTTGAATCGCTCAAGCTTATTAAGGACAATGTCATAAAGAAAGGGCTTATCAAATAAGAAAGATACAAGCTGCCCGCCGTACATCACTGCTGGATCGAACTTACAAGTTATACGAACATGGTCCCAAAACTATATCGGCAATCTCTCTCCTTTCTTCTAAAGGTTCATCCATTTCTGCTGAGATGTGGAATCTAGCCAACTACTTTCGTTGTTCAGAATTTAATGGATAATAATAATCAGCTACATCTTTATTCATTTTTTTTAAAATTATTTTGTTAGAAAATTGGAGGGATATTCAGTAAAAAAAAAAAAAAGAATTAATTTGGAAATATTCAGTAAAATGGTAAAGTAACACAATGGGAATTACTAAAATGTTTTATGCTGAAAATCTCGCTCGATAGGTGTACTGGTGTCATGAACTCGGACACATTTTTCCAATATAATCTGGTGTATGCAAAATGATTGGAAATTAAATTTATTAGATGCCCATTGTTGATTTTATAAGTAGCTATATTATTAGATGGGAAAGAAAATTATTACTCACTTTTTTTTTTATGCAAACTAAGCACGCCTTGATTGGTTGTTAATATGCTTTACCAGTGAGATGCATAAACCATAGTAGGATGAATTTCCATTTGGTCTTTTCTACTCATGACTTGAGTAGGAGAAATTTTGAGGAAATAATTAAAAAAAAACCTCACATTTCAATTTATACCACGGATGTTGAAACTTCATATTTGTGCCACATATATGCATAAATCAAAAGTAACAAAAACGTAACACATCTAAATTTGAACCACACAAAAATTTGACATAAATGTGAAAAGATATAAAATAAATGTGAAAAGATAATAAAGATTTTGATGTCATCTAATTTTTTTATGAAGTGAATGAGCGAAATCAAGTGATATTGCCTGCCCTCATGGCCCCATTTCCACATGAGAAGATGTGGGCTCTATCCACTTTGGAAACACCCATCTTGCTCTGGTGCAAAGCTGGCCCTTCGACATTTCTGTAAGTAAACAATTCTATTGGTTGATAATTTAAAAGTGCATTTCAAACACAACTGTAGTTGTAGTCTAACAAAAAGGGGGAAAAAAAAGAATTGGTGTTGTGAACTTACCCAATTAATTAACACAAACTTTGACAAAGAGTAATATTACATATTACCCATGATATCACTTACTAATTGTGACTAATAAACTATAACGTCCTATTACGAGAGAAAATAGGAATAAACAAAAACAGAGAAGCCAAGAATGAATGAATTCTTCACTCTGAATTAATTGAACAGTGTTACAAGTACAAGTATATATACTAATGTATGAGAGCAAGTGTAAGTTACATTTGTACATACTAAGCACTAACAGATTCTAAAAAACTAACAACAAACTCTAAACTAACTAACTGCGTAAAACTCCCCCTCAAGATGGACTGTGAATATCCTTGACAGCCATCTTGGATAACAAAGAAAATAATGAAGGAGTAGGCAAAGGCTTGGTGAATAAATATGCAAGCTGATGTTGAGAACGTATGGGCAGAAGCTTAACTGTGCCATCAGCAACTTTATCCCGCACAAAATGGTAATCAATCTCAATGTGCTTGGTGCGCTCGTGATGCAATATGAATAGCAGCCTGATTGTCACAGAACAACAAAGTTGGAGCAGAAATAGGAAAGTTGAAAGTGACAAGAAGTTGCTGAATCCAAACAACCTCACTGGTGACAGCAGCCTGGGCACGATATTCAGTCTCTGCAGAGGACCGAGCAATTGTAGTCTGCTTTTTGGCATTCCAAGAGACCAAAGAATCACCAAGAAAAACACAAAGACCAGTAACCGACTTGCGGGAGTCAGGATAAGACGCCCAATCAATATCAGAAAACGCCTTTAGCTGCATAGAAGAAGAAGAAGAGAAAAATAAACCCTGCCCAGGCTTATTCTTAAGATACCTTAAAAGATGATGAGTGGCTTGCAAGTGAGGAACCCGTGGCCTGGACAAAAACTGGCTGAGTTTATGCACAACAAAGGTAATGTCAGGACGTGAAAGAGTAAGATACAACAAGCGGCCAATGAGGCACCTATACTGAGAAGGATCCGATAAAAGGTCCCCATCAGTAGCATTAAGCTGAGATTTAGGATCCATTGGAACAGCCGCAGGCTTAGAGGCCAAGAAACCCGTGTCTTCAAGTAGCTGCAAGTTATAGTGTCGCTGAGAAAGGACAATACCCTTGGAAGCCCAAGCAATCTCGAGGCCAAGGAAATACTTCAAGGGACCGAGATCTTTGAGTTTGAACTGAGTATGCAAAAACTCCTTGAGAGAAGTAATAACAACATGAGACGGACCAATAATAATGATGTCATTAACGTAAACCAACAAGGCTACAAAATTGGTCCCCGAGCCTTTAAAAAAAAGAGAATAATCGGATTTGGATTGAGTGAAACCAAACTTGATCAAGGCTTGAGAAAACTTCGAGTACCATTGTCGTAAAGCTTGTTTAAGGCCATAAATTGACTTATGAAGCTTGCACACAAGCTTCTGCGAGTGATTAACCAATATTTCCTGAGTTTGATATCCAAGAGGAAGATCTATGTAGACTTCTTCAAATAAATCCCCATTTAAAAAAAAAACATTATTAACATTTAACTACACTAATTGCCAACCTTGACTTGCAGCTAGAGCAAGCAAAATTTTGACAGTAACCAACTTGGCAACTGGGGAAAAAGTTTCAGTGAAATCTACGCCCTCTTGTTGTGTATAGCCCTTAGCAACCAAGCAAGCTTTATATCGCTCAATGGAACCATCAACATTATACTTTATTTTATACACCCATTTGCATCCAATGGTGTGTTTCCCAGCATGCAAAGGAACAAGAGACCACGTCCTGTTGAGTTCCATGGCAGATAACTCCTCATTCATAGCATCTTGCCAATGTGGAAACTTGACTGCTTGGTGGAAAAACTGGGGTTCAAACTGAGAAGAAACATTTAAAACAAAATGCTTATGGGAAGACGAGAGAGAATCATAAGAGATGTGGCGAGATAAAGGATATAATGAGGTGGAATGAGGAAAAGGCTGAAGAGAGACTAAATTGCAGTGGAAATCACGAAGATAAGAAGGCGGATGGATGACCCTGGAAGAACGTCTCAGTGGAACTATGGCTGAAGTAGAACCATATTCTGGAGAGGGAGATGGAGGAGAAACAATTTGAGGCTGAAATGAAGATGGGATAGAGTCAAGTGACGAAGAGGGCAAAACAAGATCAGCAAAAGGATCCACCAAAGAATCTGTGTGAACAACAGTATGAAATGGGAAAATATCCTCATGAAACACAACATCTCAAGAAATAAAAAATTATTTTGTCTTCACATCATACAACTTGTATCCTTTCATGCCTGTTGGATAACCCAAGAAAACACAAACCCGAGCTTGAGGGTCAAACTTTCTGTGAGTTGGTAGAGTTGAGGCAAAAGTCAAACAACCAAACACCCGAAGTGACAAGTAATTCACAGAAGTTTTATAGAGCAGTTCAAAAGGAGACTTGTTGCCAAGGAAAGGGGAAGGGGTCCTATTTATGAGAAATGCCGCTGTAAGGACACATTCACTCCAAAAAGAAAGTGGGACTCTTGACTGAAAATACAATGCCCGTGCAACATTCAGGAGATGTTGGTGTTTACGCTCCACAACAGAATTTTGTTGAGGTTGATCAGCACACGAAAATTGATGTAAAACACCCTTGTCAGAGAAAAATTCAGAAAAATCCAGCTCCTTAGCATTATCAGAACGAAAAGCCTTTATTCTGCTGTCAAACTGAGTATGGATCAAATTAAAGAAATGGGGTAAAATCTTGATTGCATCAGACTTGTGTTTAAGAAGGAAAACCTATGTAAATCTGGTACAATCATCAACAAGAGTGAGGAAAAATCTATGACCAGACTTAGCACTCAAATGATAAGGGCCCCATATATCACAATGTATAAGATCAAAAGGAAATTGTGATTTATGATTATGAGAAACAAAGGGCAATCTTCGCTGCTTTGCCAATGGACAAATGTAGCAGGGACTATTGTTATTACAAAATGGATCAGGAAAATGTAAAGTGTTTTTCAAAACTCCAAGTACTTTGGAAGATAAATGGCCCAATCGACAATGCCAAGTATGAAAAGAAACATTATTTACACTTTTAGGAAAAGTGTTTTGCAAAGAATTTGGAAGGGAACCTGTTAAGAACACATATAAGTCTGCAACTCTATCACCCTTGCCAATCATCCTCCAGCTGGCAAGATCCTGAACCTTGAAGTGATCAGGGAAAAACTCGAAAGTAAGCTGAGCAGTAGCACTTAGAGCACTCACAGAGATCAAATTAAATTTGAATTGGGGAACAAACAAAACATCCTTGAGAATGAGTTGGTTATTTAGTTTCACATCTCCACAAAGACTAACCGGAAAACTAACATTATTACGCAGAGTGACCCACGCATTTCTTATAGGCCTCATAGAAAGGAAAACATTTGCATTGAAACAAATGTGCTTGGAAGCTCTAGAATCAATAATCCAAATATGTTCAGAAGAAAGATAAGATGCCGAACGGACAGAAAAACATACACCTGCCAAATGTGTACTTGAGGAATCATCTGGCTGATTAGGAGTTGTAACTGAAGCAGCCAAATGAGAGGAAAGCATGCTCATCAGGTGCTGATATTGATTGTCATTCAAGGTCTTGATGAAACCCCCAACGTCTCTAGTGCTCTGGTCTTCAGAAACAGACTTATTAGAAAGCTGATTAACTGAAACATTCTGGCCTTTTTGTTTCTGCTTGAATCCATGAGGGTAACCATGGAGCTTGTAACACCGATCAACAGTATGACCATGGTAATTACAATGGGTACAGAAAGGCCTTTCCTTCTTTGGATAACGATTTCCACCAGAAAAACCTGCCTCTCCACTGGGCTTCTTACCAACATCATTGCGAACAACAAAGGCCGAATTGTTAACAGGATCAAAATTCCCAGAGGTGACTTGATTGCTAACCGTCCTTTGATGTTCCTCTTGAGAAATAAGAGAAAACACTTTGTTTATGGGCGGAATGGGATCCAGAAGCAACAACTGACCACGAACTTGAGAGAAAAAGTCATTCAATCCCATTAGAAAAGACATAACGTACTCCATTTGGAAATAGAAAGTTAAATCCTTTACTCCACCGTAAGTGCATTTTCCACAAGTGCAATTAGGGCGGAAATTGCTCAATTCCTCCCACAACGCTTTCAATTTAGTGAAATAAACACTAACAGAATTTTGATTCTGATTGTGATTAATCAGTTCACGATGAAGCTGAAAAATTCTAGGTCCATTACTTTGTTGGAATCGATCCTTAAGATCAGTCCAAATTTCACAAGCAGATTCTGAGAAAATTATACTCGCAGAGATTTCTTTCGATACGGAATTCAAAATCCAGGAAATAACGACATTATTATTTCTGGTCCATGAATTAAGAAGGTTCAAATCAGTACCTTCTGGTTTCAGAATAGAACCGTCGATGAACCCTAGCTTGTTCTTCACCGAAAGAGCAATTATCATCGCTCGACTCCAGGAGGCGTAGTTATCTCCAGTCAGCTGTTGTGAGACAAGCGCAAGACCAGGGCTGTCGGAATGATGAAGGAAATATGGACTCAAGGGATCATCAATGGCGGGCTTGCCAGAAGAAGTAGAATCACCAGATTTCAGAGTTCCCATGGAGATTGAAGAAGAAACTCAACCGGAAATTGAAGAATGTTGAGGAAGAGGATCAATTCGTGAAGAAATTGAAGAACATTCAACAATCTTGCGGAAGAAGAATCGAGAGAAAAAAAAAATAAAATAGTGAGCGAAAAGTGCTCTGATACCATATTACGAGAGAAAATAGGAATAAGCAAAAACAGAGAAGCCAAGAATGAATGAATTCTTCACTCTGAATTAATTGAACAGTGTTACAAGTACAAGTATAGATACTAATGTACGAGAGCAAGTGTAAGTTACATTTGTACATAACTAAGCACTAACAGATTCTAGAAAACTAACAACAAACTCTAAACTAACTAACTGCCTAAAACGTCCCAAATCCAATATTCAGAGCTCAGTTTGGAATAAGATGTGTTGTTTTGTTTTGAGACATATTTTTCTGTCTTACTGAATGTCCCTCTAATACTATTTTCATAACCTATTTAAATGTTTAAGTAATTTTAATGTTTAATATTTTTATTATGCGATTAAATTCTTAAATTTATGGTCTGTTTGGTAAACAAGTTTAACTTTAGTTTGAACTAAACTAAAGTTGGTTCAAACCAGTTTTTGATAAATTTTCCTACGGTTGATGTTTTGAATTTAGCACTCCTTTTGTTTTCAATGGTTTGAACTAAAAATTAAAATACGTTTTTTAAACTTTTCATTTTAAATCAAAGAAGTTCAAATCACCATATTTCAAACCTAGTTATCCTTAAATTATATATCAAAATTAGATTATATGTCAAAATAATATTGGGCAGTCAATAGACATGAAATTCGGATAAGAGATATGGACTCATCTGAGGTGATACACAAATTATTACACACGTATCTAAAAATCTAAAAATAATATAAACAAGCGAAATTGATAGCAATACTGAGCACATTTAATATTTCTCATTAAAAAAATAAAAACGATGCACATTTAATTGGCCAGCGTGGGACTTTGTCGTCTACATCCACCGATAACACCGACGGAGATAAATCTGATGACATTAATACACTTTTAGAAAAAGGAAAAAAAAGGGTTAAATAGTCGGATTGGACTTAAAAATTCTACTCACATCTATTTATTTTCATTTGTCTGTGTAAAATGTGGTCTCTATTTAAATAATGATCATTACGGAATATATATTGAACGCTAACAAGGGAGTTTCTTTAATATGTTAAAAAATGAATTATCGGTATTTAATTTCTTGACTTTTCAGTTATAAAATCTGCAGCAAAAACTCTTGTTCTCTATAGTAATTTTAATTAAATTTAACAGTCAAAAATTAATTCTACATGTCTCAATAAAAGAGTTTAAAAAAAATGAAAACTTCAACAACTAACTGATTCATTTGTCGGGGAAAAAAAGGCTTATCGGTCCAATTATAGATAAGATAAAATAAAATCTCTATCATGTTGATCCGGATTGAGGGGCCCACTGGTGATGGTGGAAATGATGGGTAGAATGCATTCTTGCCGGAGGGGGCAAGCCCACGCAGATGACATATGGGTGGGATTTAATTATTAGTGAGAATCACGTTCAGTATGGCTGGGCATGCAGCATTACAATGCAATCATTTGATTATCTTTTTCCAAAGTAGTGGTAGATAATTAAAGCTTGATCACTCTCTCGTCTGTTCGACCTCAGAGCCAAAACGAGTGATATTATCGCATAATCTTATCAGTGTTAATCAAAATATTTGCACGTAATAATCATTTTCTGTTGCAAATGCAGATTAAATACTGGCTAGAATGCAGACTCACCAGTACAGAGTACAGACAAGACACTACGGAACGGAACCATTATACACCGCACACAAAGTTGGTGTAATTTTTCTCTCTCTTTCCTAGCCACATGCTAACATGTGATCTTCCTGCTCCTAACAAATATATTCGCACGTCCAGAAAATTCATTGCATATATAATAATAATAATAATAATAATAATAATGCAAAACGAATATATATGTTACAAAAGCTTAGAGAGGTGATCAGAGCTTTGCATTACATAAATTTTCATTCCTATTCATTTCGTTAATTTTCCAACGTGCTTTTGCATGCCATTATAACTTATGGAAAACCTAAAACCAAACCCGGCGAACTCTTCTCCACTAACCCCACTGGGATTCCTGGAAAGAGCGGCGATCGTCTATGGCGACTGCCCTTCTGTTGTCTACAATGACACCTCCTACACATGGTCGGAAACCCACCAGCGGTGCTTGCGCGTGGCCTCCTCCATTGCCGTTTCTCTCGGAATCAAGAGTGGCCAAGTCGTCTCCGTCGTCGCTGCAAACGTCCCGGCCATGTACGAGCTCCACTTTGCCGTCCCCATGGCCGGCGCCATTCTCAACAACATCAACACACGCCTGGATGCCCACACCGTCTCCGTCATGCTCGGCCATAGCGAGTCCAAGCTTGTCTTTGTAGACCAACTCTCACAAAACCTTGTCCTCGACGCCATCTCAATGCTCCCACTCAACACTCCGATTCCTCTTCCTGTTCTCATCACCGACTCGGCTCCTGACGTTGATGATCAACTTCATGATCGCTTTCTTTGTAGTTACGAAGACCTGGTGACGAATGGTGATCCGGGGTTCCGGTGGGTCCGACCGAAGAGCGAGTGGGACCCGATAGTATTGAATTACACCTCCGGTACAACATCGTCTCCTAAGGGTGTCGTCCATTGCCACAGAGGGGCTTTCATCGTCGCTCTTGACTCACTCATAGACTGGGGAGTGCCCAAGCAGCCTGTATATCTTTGGACGCTCCCCATGTTCCACTCAAACGGTTGGAGCTACCCTTGGGGAATGGCGGCCGTCGGCGGCACAAACGTATGCCTCCGAAAATTCGACGGTCCCACGATCTTCCACCTCATCAGACGGCACAGCGTCACTCACATGGGCGGTGCACCCGTCGTGCTCAACATGTTGTCCAACACTCCCGACGTCGAACCCCTCAAAAACCCGGTCCACATCATGACCGGCGGCGCACCGCCGCCAGCTCCTGTGCTCCACCGGACCGAGTCGTTAGGTTTCATAGTCTGTCACGGATACGGACTGACCGAGGTAATGGGAGTTGTGGTGTCGTGCGCCTGGAAACATGAGTGGAATAGGCTTCCCGCGACGGAGCGTGCCCGGCTAAAGTCCCGACAAGGTGTGAGGACGACGGCAACGGCAGAGATCGACATTGTTGATCCAAACACAGGTATGAGCGTGAAGAGAGATGGAATGAGCTTGGGGGAGATAGTTGTAAGAGGAGGGTGCGTTATGTTAGGGTACCTTAAAGACTCTGAGGCTACTGAAAGATGTATAAATAGCAAGGGATGGTTATACACAGGCGATGTGGGGGTGATGCATTCAGACGGGTATATGGAGATCAAGGACAGATCAAAGGATGTGATTATAAGTGGGGGAGAAAACGTGAGCAGTGTGGAGGTGGAGTCGGCGCTCTATGCACATCCGGCAGTTCACGAGGCGGCAGTAGTGGCACGGCCGGATGAGTTCTGGGGGGAGACGCCGTGTGCTTTCCTGTCGTTGAAAAATGGAGCGACAAGAAAGCCGACGGAGGAGGAGATCTTCGAGTACTGCAGGAGGAAGTTGCCGCATTACATGGTGCCGAAATCGGTAGTGTTTAAGGAAGAGCTTCCGAAGACTTCGACTGGGAAGATTCAAAAGTTTGTGTTGAAAGAGATTGCCAAGGCTATGGGGTCCAGCACTTTGGCAGGAGTCAGTCGGAGTCGGATGTAGCTAAGAGTTGACTTGTGCGATCTCATTTTCATTTCAGCTGTTCCTCCAATTAAATTTTAACATTTTATTTACTTGCTTAGGTTTTTTTAGTATTAAGTGATAAAAGAATAGTTAATGAGATAAAAAAAATTGAGATAATAGATCTGAATTCTGTAACCAATGCAGATTGCATGGCATGTACGTACGTAGCCAGCGAACCACTTGGGGAATCCGGTAGTCATGAAGTGTAATATTTACTCGAAACAGTTGAAAGTAAAAGAGATGAATGGAGTAATCTTATAGAAAATGATATGTTTTGTCTTGTCTTTTTTTGTTGAAAAAGAAACTCTTGGATCGGGTGGACAATGCTGATAATGTTGTTCTCAATAGTCTCATCAAGTCTCGCATGTGAGTCCTGCACGTACAGGGTCCACTATCCATCAACCCGATGTTACTGAGCAATTATAGTGCCTGATCATTTTCTTTTTGCCTTTTCTACAGTCAGTAATTAGCTGTAACTGTAAGCTACTCTGCTGGTACGTAAAGATTCAAACTTGGAATGGAGTAACTTCTACCAAAATATCGTGTACTCTTCACACTCCACAACAAAAGGATACGACAATCGAACATGACAAGATGTTCAAATTCAAAATAAACGTGAATCAAAATAGATAGAATTCAGAATAAGTAATTTGGAGTCAAAATAAGTTGTTTACTTGATTATAGGATTGGAATCAGAGTCAAATTGAATCTCATTATTTTTTGTTTACTGACACTAAACTATTGCAAAACGTGCTAATATACCTTTTACATTTTGTATTTTTATTTGAAAAAATTATGTATTTGATATATTAAAGTTAATTATGACTAAAATATTTATTATAATAATAGGAAAATAAAATAATAAATATAAATTGCACAATTATTTAGAATGTAAAAATAAATTGTCAAAATGCGAATAAAATAAATATAAAATAATTAATAATGAAGTGTTAAAAATTAACGTATATTATTAATTTTAATAAACAAAATAAAGTACATATTTATTATATTAGAGTTATCAATAATTAAGCTAATTTTATAATATAAGGTAATAAAATACTAAAAATTTGTTGAAATAATTATTTTTGAAATTTATTTTGAATTTTATATTTATAAGTAAATTAGGGGTAGAATAATAATTTAATATTTCTATCAGGATTGAGAGTCCCTCTCCCATTCATCAATTTCAAATTTGGGTGGGGCGTTCGAATCTCACTCACATTTCTAGATAAAAAGAGTAAGTAAAGATAGAAGTGACTCCCATAAACTAATCCTAATCAGTAAAAGTGTCATTCATGTATTTAGCTGGAAAGAAACAAGTGAAAAATAAGGTTAACTGAAGGGTAAATTATAGCCTTACTAACAATTGTCAAATTTTTTTTACATTTCTAACATATCCTCAATTTTTCATCATTTTTTTTTTAACTTTAGAAGACCTCCAGGAAACTTGGTTGTAGTGGTTGTAGTGATCTCGGTTGTTTTTGGTGGATTTGTCATTTCAATTCATGAGTTAGTTATCATTTTGGCGATTTTGTAAATTTTCACTGCTAAAATAAAGGCAATCAAAATTAATTTTAAGTTAAGAGTCTTTTACCGCGGCCGAATTGAGGAAATTGGTGATTGCTAGTTTCTTTCCAAGTTTTTTTCTAGACGGTATGAAGCTCGATGTACTGTAGAAGCCATTGTCTAGACATGTACAGAAATGAGGGTGAAGCCTAGCTGGCAAGGGACAGTTGAGAACGACGAGAAAGCAATTACTACCTTTAAATACAAATGTTTAATAATACCATTATGCCTCTAAAAGATTTTTTACTTCTAATAAATTAGTAACTTTGCAATTTACTGCTATTTATTTCAAACATTTATCTACTTACTTTGATAACAATAACATTATTTACTACAAGTTTCCTCGAGAGTAAGCCCAATCCATCATCAATATCATAGCCTAGGTGGGACAAGAGTACTCTTTACCCGATGGGCAAGATCCCCTAATCTGTGTAAGTCTTGGGCCTGTATAGGCAATTGTCCCCAGTCCATTAGGCTGAAATGTTAACTATAATATTTATAAAAAAATAAAAAACTTGTAGTAAATAGGCCAACTTATAAAACCTAAAAAGTAAATAGTCTATTTACAAAACATTAGAAATTTAATAGGCCATTTAAAATTTAAAATGGTTTACTTTCCGATAATACCCTTAGTTCCTAGTTTTTACAGTTTTTTCTTTTTAGTCATTTTTTGTTTTTTTCAATTTTTTTTTCTATTCCCTTTCTGCAGTCAAACACCTTCACTACCCCTCTCTTTCTCTTTCTCCACCATCCACTCTCTCTTCAAGCCATGCACCGAGAACTCTGTCGAGGAGATTGTGACTCTATCGAGGAGATTGTGACTCTGTCATTATCGTTCCATTCGCCATCAGGATTGTTAGAAAATTAGTAATGAAGACTTGAAACACGTAAAAATTAGGTTTTTCTTAAAGCGTTATTTGCCCCCTCTCATCTTGAGATTGCTTAAGGGTTTCAACAACAAATTGCTTCCAGGATATGACAAGCCTTTTAAAGTGTTTTTGCACTAAGCAAAAGTGAAGAAAACGCAAAGAATAGAGAACGTTTTTTTTTTTTTTTTCTGGGAAGGAGAAGAGAATGAATTTTCAGAATATTTTTTTTCTAAAAACGTGTTCTCTATTTATAACTTTAATGGCAACCTTTAATTATACCTGTTAGAGAAACTGCTGCCTAATCAGAAAGGTTATATCCTTTCAGTTAATTTAAAATTAAAAAAATACACTAAAGGTTGTAACCTTTCAAAAACAAAAACAAAAAATTATTTTTTGAAATCTGAATTTTTTTTTAAAATATTATTTTAATAGCGCCTCATTGCTCACGCCACGCGTGCGTGCAAGTCAAAAGAGACTCTCTCGTTGTCACTTCATCAACCCACTCACATGTGTGTTGACTTATAAAGTGCTACTCCACCCTATAAGTTTTCTATGTGGGACTTTAGTTATCAAGTTTTTTATATTTACACTTGAACAATTCCCACTTGTTCAAGTATAAATATAAATAGATCACCTAGAAACTAAAAAAAAATGTTTATGAATACAATAAGGTATTGTTAGATTTGAACCCTACCTTAATATAAGTACCATAAGGTAATTGTCGAAATCCCTGGTAGTATAAAACTTTGAACTAGTTATTCCTTTAACAAAAATCGGTGACACTACACACATAAACATTCATGTGTTCTTTTATTCTACACAAAACTCCCTTAGCACTTTTAATGGCCTTGTGCTCATCCTGTTTCATGAACTTTTAAGAGAGAAACTCTAACTCTCACTTGAGGCGACACCACCTCTAAGTTCATATAGGTGAAGTTCTTCCAGTATCCTCGTTACATTTAAGATACTTGTCTCTTAGATCGAACTTCATTAAGAGTTTTGTTTTTTTTTTTTTTAAATTACTCAACCCTCAAACTGTAACAACCAGCACTAATGTTCTGTAGATAGGGCTAAACGTATAGTGCTGAAAATATCCACAAACAATGATTTGTTTGTACCCTTTGAACCTAAAACTAGTCATTTCACAGTGTTAGGTTGGGTTGCCATTAAAGGTAGACTATCATTCTAGGAGCTTCAGCCCCATCCCTCTAGATGTTGACTTTATCAAATCTATTGTAAGAGGCTTGGTAAAAGGATCTGCCAAATTGACAGTGGATTTCACATATGTGAGTGAGATACCACTTTTAATTAACTTTCTCACATATTCATATCTTAGACTAATCTGTCTAGTTTTTCCATTATATACCTCACTGTATGCATGTGCTAAAGTGGCTTGACTATCACAATGTATAGGTGTAGCCGATACATTCTTAGAAGTCAAAGGGATTTCTAATAGAAGATTCCTAAGCCACTCTGCTTCATTCCCTATTGCTGCTAATGCAACAAATTCTAACTCCATGGTTGAGTGTGTAATAAAAGTTTATTTCTTAGATCTCCAAGAAATTACACCTTCTCCAAGAGTGAACACCCAACCTGAAGTAGATTTGTTGTCTTCTACACTTGATATCCAGCTAGCATTTGAATATTCTTCTAATATAACAGGGAACTTTGTATACTGAATACCTAGGTTTTTACTCTTCTTTAGATAACTAAGAACCCTAGCAATAACATGCCAGTGCTCAAAATTTGGGTTGCTAATAAATCTGCTTAATTTACTAACTGCAAATGCTATATTAGGTCTTGTACACTGTTCCGCATACATAAGACTTCCTATAATACTTGCATACTCAAGTTGGGCAACTGCCTTTCCTTCATTCTTTAGAAGTTTCAAGCTTGGATCAAATGGTGTGTTTGCATCCTTAATTTTTAAGTGATTAAACATGTTCAACACTTGCTCAATATAGTGCGATTGACTCAATGTAAAACCCCCACTATTTTGCATAACCTTGATACCTAAGATCGTATCAACTTCTCCAAGATCTTTCATTTTGAATGAGGAAGATAGAAACCTCTTTGTTTCTATTATGCCACTTATGTCATTGCTGATGATCAACATATCATCAACATAAAGACATACAAAGATAATTTACTTATCACACCCTTTTGTATATAAGCATTTGTTTGCAGTATTATGAATGAATCCATTTGAAAGAATAGCATAATCAAACTTTTCATGTCATTGTTTAGGTGCTTGCTTTAGCCCATGCAAAGATTTGACAAGTTTACACACTTTATATTCATTTTCAGGTTGAACAAAACCTTCCGGTTGTTCTATGTAGATCTCCTCATTGAGATCTCCATTTAAAAACGTTATTTTAACCTCCATTTGATGAACATAAATATCATATATAGATGCTAAAGCAAACAAGATCCTAATTGAAGTTATTCTTGCAACATGCCCATATGTATTAAAATAGTCAATTCCTTCTTTTTGTTGATAATCTTTAGTTACTAATCTAGCCTTAAATGTATTTAGAGTGGCATCAGTATGGTACTTTTTCCTAAATACCCATTTACATCCAATAGACTTAGAACCGGGTGGTAAATCGACAAGTTTCCAAGTGTGGT